CTTTATTACCGTCGGTCAGGATATAGAGATTCATAAAACGCTTTTTACATGTATATTACTTTTTCTCCCATCAAAGATTTCTATATCCAACCTCTCTCCCAAAAAAAAAAATGAAAAAATGAACGAAACGAAAAATCATATTTATTACCTTTTCGCTTCCCTTTTAAACATTGAATAAAAATTGTTTCACTCCTATAAATTTATTACCCCATTTGAAAATTTTCATTTTATACATATTATAACTCAAAATTATTTATAACTCGAAATTAAAATTCGAAAAATAAAATATTCGTTAATATTTATAAATATAGGTGTTTTAATCCTACGGATTATAAATAACCTTCAAGTTTTTATCTTCTAGGGTTAAAATACCTGCATATTTCACTCGCTAGAGTCAAAAATACCTTTATTTTTTACTCCTAGGATTATAACTGTATTTTTAACTCCAGGATTAAAATAATTTTGTTTTTATTATCTGGAGTTAAAATACCTTCAAATTTTACTCTTTAGGTTCGATTATCTCCCTAGGGTCAAAATACCTCTGTTTTTTGCTCCCTAAGATTAAAACTGTATTTTTTAACTCCATAGAATTAAAATTTATTTGATAATAGACAAGTAATTACTTATTTGAATCAAATAAATTATTTTCAATTTATTTTTATAAATTGTTAAATACTTTAATGAAATTTAAAAAATTATTAAATTTAATGGAAAAGTAATTCAAGTAAATTATAAAATAATTGAAATGGTTTAGAAATAATTAAATTAGAATTTTAAAAAATTGAAATAAATTGGAAATAATTAGATTTGATTGAAAATAATTGAAATGGTGTAGAAATATTTGAATTAGAGTTTTAAAAATTTGAAATAATTTTAAAATAATTAAGTTTGATTGAAAATATTTGAAATGGTTTAGAAATAATTGAATTAGAATTTTAAAAAATTGAAATGAATTTGAAATAATTGAATTTGATTAAAAATAAGTGAAATTGTTTTGAAATATTATATTTTTAAAAAATTAAAATGAATTGAAAATAATTAAATTTGATTGAAAATAATTGAAATGGTTTAGAAATAATTGAATTAGAATTTTAAACAATTTAAATGAAGTTGAAATAATTGAATTAGACTTTTAAAGATTTGAAATGATTTTGAAATAATTAAGTTTGATTAAAAATAATTGAAATGGTTTAGAAATAATTGAATAAGTGTTTAAAAAATTTGAAATGATTTTGAAATAATTAAGTTTGATTGATAATAAATGAAATGGTTTAGAAATAATTAAATTAGAATTTAAAAAAAAATTAAATAAATTTGAAATAATTGAATTTGATTAAAAATAATTGAAATGAATTTGAAATAATTGAATTAGTGTTTTAAAAATTTGAAATGATTTTGAAATAATTAAAGTTTGATTAAAAATAATTGAAATTGAAATAAATTGGAAATAATTAAATTTAATTGAAAATAATTGAATTAGAATTTTAAAAAATTGAAATGGTTTTGAAATATTAAATTTTTTAAAATTTGAAATAAATTGAAATGAATTAAATTTGATTGAAAATAATTGAAATAGTGGGACTCCCGAAATAATGTAGAAATAATTGAATTAGAGTTTTAAAAATTTGAAATAATTATGAAATATTTGAATTTGATAAAAAAATATAATTGAAATGGTTTAGAAATAATTGGATAAGAGTTTAAAAATTTGCAATGTATTACAAATAATAAAATTTGATTTAAAATAATTGAAATATGTTTTAGAAATAATTGAATTAGAGTTTTAAAAAATTGTAATGAATTTGAAAAAATTAAATTTGATTGAAAATAATTGAAATTGAAATTGAAATTGAAAAATAGAAATAATTGAAATAAATTAATGAATAATTAAATGAAATTAAAAAATAATTAAATAGAATTAAAAATAATAGAATTGAATTATAGAAAATAATAATTAATTGAATTACAAAATGATAATTAATTGAATAAAATTTAAAAATGATAATTAATAAAAAAATGTGATCAAATATGCGCACAATTTGGCTATAATGTAAATTGTATGTTTATGTTAAATTGTAATTATATTTACATATAGCGCATGAAAATGTAGTAAATATCTTTAGACGAATGGCATTCATGTGAATGTAAAGGAATTGTGTACGAGACACGATTTGAATACGTAATTTCTCTTCGCGTTGAGAAATTTGTGAGCGTGAGTTTCAGTACAAATTTCTAACATTTCACCCCCTTTCTCCCCCCCTCTCTCACTCTCTCTTTACTCTTTTTACTCTCTTTAATGTCGAAAAATAATTATTAGAATTCAATTTTCATCATCACTCTCAAAAGTTTTCCATGTGCGGTGTATAACGATTTATATATTAGCCGAGAGATTTAGAGTTTAATATATAATTCGCTTCAAAATCCAACCAAAATTCCAACGAAATATGTTTAAAGAACGTAATTACAAGCGACAATTAAATTTGTCCGCAATTAACACGCAGTTGCTTTTACGCTTTACCTACCGCAATGCCAACACTAGTAGACAATAATTTTCGCAAAATTTCTATACATATTGTTGTAGAAATTTAGAAACATGAAAATAGAAAAAGGAAATAATATTAATAATATTAATTTATACTATTTAGTAGTGAAAATATAATAATATGTTATGTATTAAATTTTTTATTAATTATTTTCTAATTAATTTCAATTATTTTTAAAATTTATTAAAATTATATTTTAATTTCATTCAATAATTATTTTTCGTTCGTCTAATTAATTTCAAATTTTTTTTTTTTAATTTCACTTCAATTATTTTCTAATTTGTTTGAATTACTTTTTAAAGAAATTTAATTATTTTAAATTAAATTAATTTAATTCATTTTCTAATGAAATTTTATTATTTAATTTTACTTGAATTATTTTTTCTAATTTGTTTAGGTGACCTTTTTATTTAATTTAATTATTTCAATTATATTTAATTCTTTTTGAAATTTGTTTCAATTATATTTCAATTTATTTTTAATTCTTTTTGAAATTTGTTTCAATTATATTTCAATTTATTTTTAATTCTTTTTGAAATTTGTTTCAATTATATTTCAATTTATTTGCAACTTTTTTTGAAATTTGTTTCTATTACTATTTAAGTATTTCAATTATTTTTTAAATTTTATTCAATTATTTTTCATTTATTTAATTTTTTTTAAATTCAATTCAATTATTTTGAAATTTGTTTCTGAGTTACTTGTTAATTTATTTTAATTATTTTTTGTGTTCATTCAATTATTTTAAAATATTTATTTCAATTTTTGCTTACTTATTTCAATTATTTTTTTTAATTTAATTCAATTATTAAATTTTTATTTCAATTCTTCTTTAAATTCAGTTCAATTATTTTCTATCTTGTTTGAGTTACTTTTTCATTTAACTTAATTATTTATGTAAAATCAATTATTTTTTATACAATTCAATTATTTTTTTATTCCATTTATTAATTTTTTAAAATTCATTTCAATTTTTACTTATTTAATTGAATTATTTTTTAATTTACTTATATTATTTCCAATTTATTTTTTTTTTTGTACTGTCCTAGTTAAAATTTTTTTAAATTTAATTCAATTATTTTTAATTTATTTCAATTCTTTATTTTTAAATTTATGAAAACGAAATTTAACTACGGTTACTATTAATTAAATATATAAATAAATGAAGTAAATTTTCTTTTTATATGAAGGAAAATATTTCTTTAGGAAAAAAAATATTTTAATGAATTAAATAAAGTGTTTGATTCACTGAAACAAAAATATTTACTCGAAAAATTTTTGTTTCCAGTAAATTTTTGCGTAAGTGCATTTATAATTTAATAACTATAATTCAGTAACATATTCAGTAACTATAGTCAGTAACAATTTTTAAGTAATTAATAAATAATTCAATTAATAAAATAGTTCAATTCATCAGTAATTCAATTAATAAAAATAATTCAGTTAATAAATGAACAAAATCAGTTAATAATTTTTTTTTTTTTTTGCGACAAAAATATTTTTTTCCACATATAATACGTAAAACAGTTTGAAAAATATAATTTAGAAAAAAAGTAATAGCAATCAGTCAGTTTTCATTTTCCGAGAAAGTAATCCTTCACTATCGTCCTGTCAAAAGTTTTCTCAAAGTGATGTTGAGGGAGAGAGGGAGGGGGGGGAGCATAAACAAAAAATGACTTTTCTCGATATAAGGTAACTTTTGCGAAAATGGAACTACAGAACTTAAGAAGAAGAAGAAGAAGTAACTTTTAAGCAAGAATTGTATAGTTATGGTTGGACGGGATTTGACTTTGACTTTTTTTTTCTGTGCCACTCGACGTTGAAACTAACTGCTTTTCAAGAAAATGAAATCGTTCTCAAAACTCTGTAACAAAAATACAGTCTTTATTGTATATATACACTTTTCTACCAGTTGCTTTTTACCTTCAAGCTCTCTGTTTGACGTAAAGAGAGAGACAATTAAATTTCAACAATACACACACACACACACGCGCGCGCGAGTCGTGAAACAATTTCAAATCAGAATATATATGAGATTATTCCTTTGACAATATGAGTTGCATATTTTTGTATTATTACATTATTGAAACAAAGAACTGCGGTAATATTAAATTAATAATAACAAAATTATTACCAGGGGAATAATTCAAACATTTCAATTACAAAAATAACATTTTAACAAAGTTATCTGCGTATTTTTTACATCAGCAAAATTTATTAAACTTTTTTTTCCTGCTACAAGGTGAAAAAAGGTTATTTTACTCCCTAGTGTTAAAATACGTCTATTTTTACCCACTAGTAATATCGGAATATCTACACATTTTACTCCCTAGTGTTAAAATACCTCTATTTTTCAAACTTGAGCGAGTGAAAAATAATGAATTGTTTTAAACCCTAGGCGCAAAAAAAGTACGAAGAATACTTTCTAATAATATTCTAATTTTAATATTGTTTCAGATGAGGCAAAAACTGGATCCATTGTCCATTTGTTTTTTCACGCTTCTGATTTCAACTTCGTTAGCAGCTTCATCACACAAGGTAAACTACAAATTATTAACTATATTTTTATAGCATTAATATTATTATTATTATTATTATTATTATTATTATTTTAGTGCAGTTATTATGATTTAGTTATTTTTAAAAATAAATACAAATTATTGAAATAAAAAATGATTCTCAAAAATTTTTTTAATTTCTTTGAAACGATTCAATTATTATGAAAAATTTTTAAGAAATTTTTTCGTAAAAATTCAATTGTTTTCCCAAATAATAAAAATCTTCGAAGAAATTCAATTATTTTAAAAAAATTTTTGTTAAAATTCTAATTTAAGAATTGAATTATTTTCAATAAAATTTTAATTAAATTCGTCGAAAAAAATTTGTAAGAATTCAGTTTTATTATTTTCATATAAATAATAAAATACTGTAGATAAATTCAATTACTTTGAATATAATCATAATAAAATTCTTTGCAAACATTCAATTATTTTTATAAATAATAAAATTTCTAAAGGAATTCAATTATTTAAACAATACAATTTTCATTGGATTTTTTTTTTAAAAAATCAATTATTTAAAAGAATTTTTATAAAATTCTTCTTGTGAATTCAATTATTATTTGAAAGTTTTAATGCAACTCTTCGCAGAAATTCAATTATTTTGAAAAATTTTAAGAAAATTAATTGTAAAATTTCAATCAAAATTATTTTCACAAATAATGAAAATCTTTGAAGAAATTCAATTATATTCAATATCTAATATTATTTAATAAAATTTTCCAAAAGAATTCAATTATTTCAAAGAATGTTAATAAAATTTTTTGCAAACATTCAATTATTTTCATAAATAGGTAATAAAAATTTTACAGGAATTCAATTATTTAAATAATACAATTTTCATTGATTTTTTTCGAAAAAAATCAATTATTTAAAAGAATTTTTATAAAATTCTTCTCGTGAAATTCAATTATTATTTGAAAATTTTAATGCAACTCTTCGCAGAAATTCAATTATTTTGAAAAATTTTATTAAAATTCCAATATAAGAATTGAATTATTTTCAATAAAATTTTAATTAAATTCTTCGAAAGAAATTTTTAAGAATTCAGTTATTCAAGTAAATAATAAAATTCTTCGCTGGAATTCAATTATTTTCATTCTAAATAAAAAAAGACTTTAGATAAATTCAATTACTTTGAATATAATTTAAATAATCTTCTTCGCAGGAAATTTAATTATTTTCTTAGATAAATAAAATTTTTACAGGAATTTAATGACTTAAAGTTAAAATACAATTTTCATAAAATTTTTCGAACAAAATCAACTATTTAAAAAAATTTATTCTTTGCAAGACTTGAATTATGTTTATAAATAATAAAACGTTTTACAGAATTTAAATTATTTTTTATACAATTTTAAATCAATTTCTTGAAATTAAATGTAAATGCAATTATTTATATAATTTTATGGCGCTTTCAAAAATATTGATTTATTTTTTAAACTGTTATTAAAATTCTTCGAAAGAATTTTAAATTATTTTAAGAAATTTTGATAAAATTCTTTATAAATAATTAAATTTTAAGAAATATTTAATTATTCAATAAATTATTTATTTTTATATTTAAATAATTGAATTTCCTTCGAACTTTCTAAGAAGAATTGATTTAAAATTAAATTTCAATTAAAAATTTAGTTCATAATTAAATATTAGAATTTAAATATATTATAATAATTAAAAAGAATAGTAATTAAATTTCAAAAGATTTTTTAATTGTAATTTTTGAAAATTTTAATTGTTGTAAAACTATAACAGTATTCAATTTTTTATTTTTAAATATATTTAAGTGAAAAAAAAATTATTGAATTTTGAAAGAATTACAGTTCTAATTTTGATAAATTGTTAATTTTCAAAAAGATTTTACGCACCAAATTGATAATTTTCCACAAAGTAAATCACATTCCGTTTACTCAAAAAAAAAAGAAAGAAAAGAAAATTCGTCTATATAACAAAAAAAAATCTCGAATTAAAAATTTTAACTATAAAAATTGTTTAGCTAGGGAGAAGAAAAAATTTCCTTTCCTCTCTCTGAAATAATTTTATTCTCTCTCTACAACGTGTGATTCACATTAGTTATTTTTCTTTCTCTTCTTTTTTTTTCGAACAAAAGCTGAGAAAAGTTTTTAAAATATAAAGGATATGTTTATGAATTGAGTTTGAGAATGTGCGGTTGGGTAAAAAAAAGAATGTGCTTAGTGTAAAGATTACCGTATATGCTAAATCCCTGGCGAGAAAGAATTTTCTCGTGTGTGGCAAAAAAAGGAAAAAAGAAAAAAGAAAAATTATATATATATATATATATATATATATTTATAAAGAGAAGAATGTTGAGAGAGAAAAGTAGAAAGTGAAATTACGTTAAAACTCACCACAGAAAACTTCCTGCGGGAGACAGTTCTACCTCGAGGACCAATTAGGGATAATCGGTTCCGACAGTCGCCAACTCTCTCTTTCTCTCTCCCTCTCTCTCTCTCAACCCCTTTTGCTATTGCCGCAGCAAAACTTCCTTTACTTCACCCGAACTGTTCAATATTGCTTGAGAAGCCCTTCTCCTTGTAAAAACATTCAGCCACATTTTGTCTCGAGTCGAAAAAAAAATTGCGTCACTTATTTGACTTACGAAAACTATTCTTGGAAAATTACTCATATTTTTTTTATAGACAATTAGAGCTGTATTTCAGGCTTTGCAAAGAATTTTATTATTTATGAAAATAATTGAATTTTTGAAATCCGAGGTCAAATCGGATTAAAATTGTATATATTGAAAATAATCCAATATTACTATTTAAAATCTTATAGTAAGTTTTACTAAAAATATTTTTATAACAAAAATAATTGAAATCCTTAAAAAAAAATTTTATTATTTATTAAAAAAATGGAATTTATTCCTCTCAAGAATTTTATTATTTTTGAAAATAATTGAATTCTTGAAATCTTTTAGTCGAATCTAAATGAAATTGTAATGAAAATAATTCAATTCTTATTTATTAACTTTTACTAAAGAATTTATTAAGTTACTAAAGATAATTTAATTCCTTCTAAAACTTTTATTAAAATGGTATCGAAAGTAGTTAAATGTCTATGGGGAATTTTATTATTTAAGAAAATACTCGAATTCGTGGGAAGAATTTTATTAAAATTTTGGAAAATAATTGAATTTCTTTGAAAAATGTTATTATTTGCAAAAGTAATTGAATTTATGTGTAGAATTTTATTTTACTTGAAATAATTGAATTTATTTTTTGAATCATTTTATCAATATTTTTGAAAATAATTAACTTCTTTCAGAAAGATTTTATTAAAATATTTCAATTAATAGATTTCTTTCTAAAAATTTTCCTGAAAATTATATTTTAAATAATTGATTTAGTGTAAAAATTTTATTATTCGTGATTCGAGTTTTTTTTAAGAATTTTATCAAAATTTTTAAAAATAATTACTTTTTTCAAGAATTTTTAAAAAAATTTTATTAAAAATAATAATTAATTTTGAATTTTCCCAGAATTTTTCACGAAACATTGTCTTTGAATTTTTCCAGAATTTTTGAATTTATTTTTGAATTATTTATTATTTATTATTTATTATTTATTATTTATTATTTATTATTTATTATTTATTATTTATTATTTATTATTATTATTTATTATTTATTATTTATTATTTATTATTTATTATTTATTATTTATTATTTATTATTTATTATTTATTATTTATTATTTATTATTTATTATTTATTATTTATTATTTATTATTTATTATTTATTATTAAAAAAATTTGTTTTTCAATAATAATTAAAATCCTGCAAAGAATTTTATTGTACATGAAAATAATTGAATTCTTGAAATCTTTTAATCGAATCTAATTGAAATTATATTGGAAATAATTCAATTCTTATTTAAAATTTTAGTTATTAAAAATAATTGAATTTCTGTGGGGAATTTTATTATTATAGAAAATACTCGAATCGGTGGAAAGAATTTTATGAAATTTTTTGAAAATAATTAAATTGTTTTGAAGAATATTTTGGAAATTTATGAAAATAATTGAATTATTGGGAAGCATTTTTTTTTAATTAAATTCATAATAATTTAATTCATATCTGAAAAATTTTATTATTTATGAAAATAATTAAATTTCTTGGAAAAATTTTATTATTTTTAAAAATAATTGAATTTCTTTGAAAAATTTTATTATTTGTAAAAATAATTGAATTCCTGTGTAGAATTTTATTAAAGTTCTTGAAATAATTGAAATTTTTGAAACATTATATTTAAATTTTTTTAAATAATTGAATAATTGTTTTGAAGAATATTATGATAATCTATGAAAATAATGAAATTCTTGTCATGAATTTAATTATTTCGGAAAGCAATTTAATTCTTATAAACAAATTTTATCAAAATTTTAGAAAATAATTAACTTCTTTCAAAAATATTTTCTTAAAATATTTCAATCTACATATTTATTTATTAAATTTATATAGTAATTAATTGATTTTCTTCGAAAAAATTCAATAAAAATTGTAATATTTAAATAATTGAATTCATGTGAAAATTATATTATTCGTGATATTAATCGAATTTTCGCAAAGAATTTATTTAAAAAATTTTTAAATAATTGTATTCTTATTGAGATATTTTATTAAAATAGTAGATATTGATGAAAATAATTGCATTTCAGCCAAAAATTTCATTATTTGTGAAAATAATTGAATTCTTGTAAAAAATTTTGTTTTTAATTTATGAAAATAAGTGAATTATTTCATGAATTTTATTTAAATTTTTGAAAATAATTACATGTTTCAAGAAATTCTTTTAAAAATTTTATTAAAAATAATAATTTAACATCCTGCAAAGAATTTATTTATTATTAAAATAATTGAATTTTTATTATTGAAAATAATTGAATTTTTTGAAATCTTTTGGTCAAATCCGAGGTCAAATCGGATTAAAATTGTATATATATTGAAAATAATTCAA